CATTGTGACTTGGAGGGGGAGCTCTTCAAAGACAAGAAAAGATTTGGTTTCTTTGTTCTGAAATGAGTTTTTATGGTGGGTTTGGCTTTATTGAAGATCTTTGGGATTACATCAGAAAATGAAGTTTAAAAACATTACTTCATTGCTTGGTTTTTATATATATCCTAGAACCCGTGGTTGAAGACTGTTAAAGAATCAAGATTCGTAGATTGCTTCAAATATTCCTCGTTGCAAGATATTTTCTTATTTTCTAGATGCTTGTTTTGGAAGTTAAAACATTGTCATCCATTCCATATTTTGAGGGGGAGATTGTAGGGTTTCAAAGTACTCCATGGATGATGGAAATGCCCCCTTTGATGAAGTGTAGGTTAAAAATCCCAAGACTTGTCTTTTCCATGTAAATAGTCATGTATTATTCATAATTAAGATTAAGAGTGAAGCAAAATGTAACCGCCATGTTGTGAGGTTTCTTATGCAGTGTTATATTCTTTAGTCTATGTTGAAAGTGTAATTTATTCCTCATGTTTTGAATTAATCGAGTGCTCATTCGACATATCTTCTTTCTTTATGTTTGTTCTTATTTTTCGCATCTTGTTCATCAAATCACAATTAGGGTTCTAATCCCAATAGGAGGCAACCCATGTAGTTTTAGTTTATTTTTATGCTTTCAATAAAGAGATGATTATAGTCCAAAGAACGCTTTAGGAAATCATAAGATCTTCAAATTGCTGAAATTCAGATTGTTCGCCAACATCTTTGTCAAATCAGAAATTTCTACAAATTTATCAACTATATTCTTTCTTAGTTGCACCCTTTTGTTTTTATTAGTCTTATTGATTTGTTCATTCCTCTCTGAACATTGAGAACAATGCATCATTTTAAGCTTGAGGAAGGGTTTGTGTGAAAATGTGCATTTTTAGCTAAAAATTTTAAAATTTTCAATTTTCAATTTTTCAGTTAAAAGTTTTTTGGTTTTTTGGTTTTTCAGTTACAAGTTTTTTTAGTTTTTCAGTTAAAAGTTTTCAAATTTTATTTTTTTTATATTACTTTCTCCATTGCATTTGCAGTAAAAATACTGAAAAAGTCCAAAAATATTTTATGTTTATGTTTTTTATTCTTTCTGCATTCATAAGAAAACCCAAAATATTTTATCTCTATTTATTTTAGTATTTATTTTCAACATAAAAAAATTATGAAAAAAAGTTACATGATATGATGACATTCTTGCATTCGATAACACTTTATAAATGGAAAATGAAAGGTTTGGCGCGATCAGATCGATAGCGGTAAGTTTAGCAATAGTTCTCATCACTAGGGGTTGCAAAACACTGTGATCTGAGATGTCGGATGTAAAAAATAAAAAGAATGGTGTACTGAAACACTGTATGGTCGGTAATAATAGTTTCATAATTATTTGCTTTGGAATATTTAAAACGAACCTTGATCGACAAGTCTGGACCCACAGAACACGAACCTATTTGATTAGCACACGTTACCATCGAGGTAACAAAGAACCTTATATCAGATCCACATAGTCAAAAAGAAAGGAAGGGTATGAACTGTCATATCTGATACCCAAGTTAAACATCAAGCACTTGATCGAAGAAATCTCTAGACATTCAAAAAGTTGATTGAAGAACTCAAGCTAAAGACAAAAATACAATAACTCAAGTTCAATCAAATCAGAAGCCATTCCAAAGACAAATACGGCAAATGAAGACAAGTGTGATATGATATTTGTCGCTCTCAGAAAAAGTGGAAGCATAGAGCTATGACCCCTACGGGATGGTTGGCTGCTTTGGTGAATGTTGATTTGATGTGACAGGTTCTTAAGAATGTGTCGATCCTAGTTCTTAATTATCTAATCTTAAGGACATGAAATTCTAAAATATGCTATTTTCGCTTGCAATTCTAAATAAGGCCTAAAGTTTAAATAAAAGTTACAAATGGTTTATTGGTTCACACCTTTAAGCTTCTTCAGGACTTTCGGAATCTATTTAAGATGGAAGGTATTGTGATGATCATTTAGGTAGTGAATCCATTTGGAGCTTTGCTTGGTGTTAAGTCTGATCATGTGAAGAAAAAAAAGAGTGAAGTGTTTTTAGTTCAAGTTTAGATTTCTTTATTTTATTATAATTTCTTTTTAGGTCATCTACATCTTTCCATTTCATTTTTAACGTTTAATGTTTTTATTACTTGAGGGAAAGTAACGTTCAAGCTTGGGGAGATTAGATAGATGCCATTTTATGCATCTATTAGGGTAGTTTTTATTAGCATTTTGCATTATATTTTATGTTATTTCATGTGTATTAGTATAAATAATTTTCAGCTCATGATTATCATCAGAATTCCCGTAGTACTCATGTTATTATGTCTTTTTCATATAGTTCAAGTGGAGTAGTACTTTGGGAGTAGCTTTGGATCCGTTTAAAGGAAGCATCAAAGCTTCATTGGAGTTGGAACTGAAGAAGGATGTTGAGGATATACTTGAATTTCTTAAATGAAAGAGTTACGACCGAATCGCGACAAAAGAAGAAAAATGTGATCACATTTCTCCACTTCTGCAATGACATTAATTGGTCGAGGTTTTTGTGGGTCGAAAAATATCATTCTAAGAAGAAAACCCAAAAAATGTGATCATTGAACAAAAATGCGATCACATATATGATTGCATTTTTGTGTCGAGGTTTCGAAAAGTCAAAAATAACAACATACTTCATTAACCGACAATTAAGGAAAATTTGGCAAAAAAATGCAATCACATTTTTTTTATATATGCGATCGCAGTTTTATCTTTCTTGTTCCAGAAGTGTCTGAATTGCATATAAATATAACCCCTCTGATCAGCTTGAACCCAGACGACGAAAAACCCATCTTAATGTGATTTCTGCTACTTTTCATCACTTTCTAAATATATGAAGGTTGTCGATCATATCCTACACATAGTTTAGTAAGATTAATCAGTTAGTATCTCTTTTTATTAGTTTTAATCAGATTTTAGCCATGTCTCACTAAAACCCTAGTTTTCAATTTTGCAAAAAGACTAGTACTTTTCATGTTATCAGTTATCAAATTTGGTTTTCATTGTGTGCTTCTATATAGTTGTTTCGGTTTTGAGCTTAATGAATGTTTGATTTTAATTCTAGTTAGCTTGATCACCTAATTAGGGTTTAATTATACTAGTTAATCAGTTAATAGAGTACGTAATTATTCTTATCAACTGGTAATAAGTAACAAGTATCATATTGGTTCTGTGTTGGGATTAAGCTCTTATATAAAACAAAAAATCATATCTTTATGCATCCGATCTTGTGAGAAGTATTGGGTATTGCTGGGAATTTTACACAAACCTTAATGCAACTTTTCTAAATTTAATTAAGAGCTTCTTTAATTAGATCAGTAAAAAGTTAGGGTTAACTAAAGAGCTTGTTTTGATTAATTATCTAGGTAAATGATATTATACTAGAGTTTGTTACTTTTTTCAATACTAGCTTAGATAGAAAGCATTTTAAATAACTAGATATGGGTTGATTGCATGATTAGGAAAGTTGCAGCAGAACAATTTTTTTTATTATTTATTTCATTTAGTTTATTTCACTACAATTTTAGTTTAGTTAATAATTAAAATCCCTCTTTTTATATTTTATGTTTTGACTGGTATGTGCCATATGCAACGAGGCATTTACCACTAGTTTGTGTCCCTGAGGATTCGACTCTACTTCCCTTTTCTATCCATTAGTGCAACCAAGCTGTGATATTTTATTTGCTTAATTCGTGCATGACAGCGGTTTAACACTTATCAAAAGCGAATACTCGTGCCCCCATGGGTACATACTACCGCTCTTCCTAGACTCCCCCTCTAGGTGTACCAGCACACCCATATGGTTAGAAAATCCACCACATACTACCTAGATTCCCACATTGTAGTTCCTCATAAACAAGTGCTCACACTAGCATGATCTAGCACTCTTCCAAGGTCACTAGAAATACTCATGCCACCTTGTTATCAGCTGAGAAAGAAACTTCTACAAATGTCAACTAACTATCATACACAAGTGGTCACACTAGCATGATCTAGCACTCTTCCACGGTCAATAGAAATAGCCACGCCACCTTGTTATCAGTTGCGAAAGAAACTTGTACCAATGTCGACTAACTATCTTACGAATACAATTACATGCAATAAGGATTAAACAGTCCTTCGACTGAAAGACCATGCACTACAATGATTGGACACAAACAAGAGTTGTGCAATAGGGCCAAATCAAACATTCTAAAACTATTTAATCTTCGTGACATGCAACTTAACGCATTTGCTTAATAGTTAACTAACATCAATATAGGTTTCACATAGCACAAAGCAAGCAGCATTCA